TCTTAGGTCACCTAGTTGTAGAAAAAAAATTTAATTTTAAATTGGGTGTTAAACCAAACGCACTAAAATTTGCCTAGCTTGTTGGTGAACATGCTCTGATTAATCCACATAACACACATTTTGATCGAAGGTTGGTTTTCATCTCAGCGTGCACTCAAATCTAACTAAGCACACAGTTGTCATCCGATATTGGCCACACTGCACCGTACTTCACGATGCTCGCGCGGTGAAGTGTATACGAGGAGAATCTGGAAACGGATGAAGGAAATCCAAGAACGCTGACAGATTCAGACGGAGAGAGTTGAGTTCGGCTCAGCTGTCGCGATGGTCGGCGACAATGATACCAGAAAAAAGAAGCTGGAGGCTACGTAATTCGGTGTCTCCCTATTTCTCTCCTTCTCTTCATTTCGGGAGGGGGATTATCTTGGGGAAAGCCATTTAGTGTTTCCAGCCACCGCGTCAGCCCCCCAGAACACGCACTCAATGTGGCCTTACAAAAGAGAGCGTGCTTGGCGGAGCAAGCAATACCCGCCGACGCCGATGGATAAGAAACGCGCGGATTGGCCTCTGAGACGAAAAAGAGACAAGAAAGCAGAAAGCTATGCCCAGCGCTGTTCTTAGCAACACACTGCCTCTTTTCTTGCATCGTAGAGGACAAGGGCCATCGACGTCCATTACCTCAGTGCACGTCGTAACCTAAGCGTGCAGTCTTGCTAGCCTGAAGTATCGGGATAGGCTCTTGGTAGGGGGGGGGGGGGGTGTAAGTCGCGTCGTCCTAATGATCATGGGCTCCTTTTGCTGGTCTTCAACCAGCGCGCACTAGAAACTGTTAGTCAGTAGAAGACAGTCCGTAAAGAATATATAGTGAGATCGAATTGCTTGCTGGAATGTATTGCGGCAAAGACGGGACGTAGCTGCCCAGTCAATAGGCTTCTCTGACTGTTCCGAATAAGGTTTTTAATGACCGTAAGGTTTGTAACGACCATAACCGACATTTCTGGCTACAAAATAAAATTATATTATGAAAGAAAACATTAGGATTAATATTTACGGTGCAAAGAGAACAACCGGCGTATAATCAAGACGATCAAATTTAAAGCTGTAACACAGACTCGTGTTCAATGCATTCAGAACTCACCATACCCTAAGCATAAATTTTAGTAAGTGTCCCAATGTGACTAGCTAAAGAGTCTAATTATTGACACTTCGATAATCGGTCATTGTGTACGTGGGTTTTTGCGCACAAGTATATGCCTACCTGTGCTATAAACACAACACGAGCAGCAAAACCTTGGCTCTCCTTGTCTAGAGTAAACGCTTGTACAACTATATTACGAATAAACAATGAAATCCTCTCTTTAACGAAAGATTTCTGAAGAACCCCGGCCTCACTGCAAGTGTTAATCTTAATGACTCTTACAACAAGTTACCCCTATGCTCACGTTATCGCCATTGTGCATCGCACAGGAGAAAAGGGGAAATTTTAAAGGCTCGTTTTTTTTTTTTTTGGTAGACTCAATATTAATAGGAACAGGCAATAATGCCAAGAAACGTCTTCAGCGCTATTGTCTGTTAGTTTGCATGATTCGCAAGGCGTTCAAGAGGGCGGCTGGAAAAACCTGTCAACGCGAGCACCGACATGTTCTTCGAGCTGGGCCTGCACAACACTCTGGACGAACTGATCGAGGCGCACAACATTGCACAATACGAGTGATTGTCCAAGTCCAAGACGGGCAGGCGCATCCTAGAATCGCTCGGCATAACATACCACACGCAATGCGGGGAGAAGACGATGGTTCCTATCGCGGTCCGCGACCGTCTCATCGTCCCACCGCTCCCCGGGAACATGCACCCGACACACCACGTCGGGCGCCGCAACAAAAGAGCGAGTGACCTCCAAAGAATGTATGGCATCAGCGACGAAGCGGTGTACACGTGGACGTCCCGCGATACTCAGAGGGAAGGCGTGCTCATGTTATCGCCGTAGTGAATCGCACAGGCAAATGCATCGCTAGTGCCGCGGTGCGTACGGAACACACAGACGCCATAGAGAAACATACTATCTCTATGCAGAGGCGGCCGAAGAGGCGGCGATCGCTCTTGCATTGGTCGCAGCACCGGAGGCTGCGGTCGTGATCAGCGACTCGCAAGCTGCCGTCCGTGGCTTCGCGCGCGGTCGCATCTCGTGTCTGGCGGCCCGAATATTACAATCCAGTAATGGCAACAAGGACGGCGGCGAGCTTCGAGGAGCGATGGGTCATTGTCCTCGTATCTCAAAACTGAAAATGCGAATGTCTTCCTTCTGTGGACCCCAGCTCACACCAGCGTCCCACTCGAAAGTAACCAGGTGACCCACACAACGACTAGAGATCTCACTCACCGAGCCACGGCCGATTCGGTGGCCGCCTTCACTTCCAAGAGCGGGGCGATGACATAATCCCCCACGACAACAACTGGAATGGTCGTGGGGTGATCGCCTGACCACACTCAATGACATTACGCAACAATACAGACTAAACAGACGCGAATACCCACCACTACACAACAAATCGAACAAAATAGAGGTCGTAACTCTGAGATTATTACAGACAAATACGTAGCCCCAGCCCGGTGATCCTACGCCTGCGTTGTCCTCGCCTATACCCGACGGATGCGTGTAAAGCGTTCGCGGAAAAAACCACATTGCAGCACGTTCTTTGGGAGTGTGCTGGAAAAGTTTGCGTCACTGCCGCCGCTCCTTTTGAGACGTAAGGCAGGCATGAACTCCGAGGCCAATAGGTTATCGGTAATATGGGCAACCACAGGGAACTGTGGGATTTGATGGCTTCCGTTTCGACGCACCACGCGGGTTAGCAGCGGCACGCGCGCATTTTTGTACCGCTCTGTTGAAAAAAAAGCACCTCTCCGTGTAATGTCAGCAATTTAGAAGTTTTTTTTTTTTGCTAACTGTGACTGCGACGATGAAAAGCTACGAAAGCTAGAAATGGTAAGGAAACTTTTTTTTATTTCACTAAAATGATCTGCAATGCTTTTATGCTGCTCGTGTGTACTGTGAATTTGGCAGATCAGTTGATACAGAAGATAGCTTTATTGTATGATACGTTACTGCAGATAAAAAACCACCATTTTAGAGATCTCAGGAGATGGGGTTGACTGTAGCGGTGTGCTAAGAGGTCATTTCGGGATCGCTGCTTCGGCCGACGTTGGTCGATGAGCATGAAGCGCAGCACTTATTGAGCGCGTTGAGATATATTTTTTATTTTTTCTAGCCTTCAGCGTGCTAGAAGACACATTTATTAGTCGAAGCTAGATTATTATTTTAACGTTGATCGTGATTAAGCTGCGTGGAACGGCGGTACATAACAACACAGTCAGACATAGACGGAGCCGAATAATCGAAACTCTGCGCTTGTTTAACGAGCTTATTCTTTTTTGTGCCATCCTAGCGTGCAGTTTGACCAAGATAAACGCAAAAGAACTCGTTCAGCACTTTGTGTAAACTTACTCTTGAGTGAAGGTTATGCGTTTTTTGTCATATATATGAGTGCAATGACCGGCGCTCATTTTGTATGACAGGTCGATTTCGCCCGTGCGTTTCCATAAGATCTTTGCTAGGCACCTCTGCGCGACAATTTATTTCTCAATATAATACTCGCAGCGAATTCATGCGCAAGCTTTTCATTGGTGTGAAATACACACTTACCTGTGATAAAATGGTTTTCGCACACTCTGACTTCAACGTTCCATACTCAAAGGCTACCTGTCGCTGTGGATATCTTCACAGGCGGAGCCCACTTGATTTATTTTCTTCATGCCATGGGAATTGATACCTGCGTTTGCCTTTCACGCTCGAGTTGGAGTAACCAACGGCCGAACAACCAACGATTGTTTATCAAGACGAAGATAAGCGGGCGACCACGCACGCGAATCCCGAATAGTCTAACCCCCGTATTAAGAGACGCTCCTCGACTCGAATTCCATCCTTCACTTGACTGAGTTTAGCACTGCGCCGCTGCTCGACTGAAACTGACGCTGCACTTTTCATGAATCGCTGACGAATATTGGCGATATGCAGTGACTTCGTCTGCCAAGAGACGGCGCTCCCATCGACTTTTTCAAGTCGAGAGAGCCCTTGAGTGAAGGAGCGTTTGTGAATACGGGAGTGAGGCTTGCAGCGAAGTGGTTCACCGTCGCCTACACTTCTCGAACCGGAAGACAGCAGCAGACGGTGCATCCCGCAATCCCTCGCTCTTTTACTGGTCACTATATTGCTGCTGCTACCACCGCGCGAGGGCAGAGGCCGGGGCCTCCGCCATGACTGCGGTCACTGTTGCCGATAGGCGGCGTCGGCTGCGCTGCCACTGGGAGGCGGCACTCACCAGCGACGCGATGGACGACCAGCTTTGAGCCGTCCGGCAAGCTTAAGATGCCGCCCGGGTGCAAGCACTTCGAGCGGTCACCTGAGGCACCGCCATCATTACCATCGGAGGGCGGGAAGGGACAGGGCTTAATTCCTTCTTTCCCCAACTCTCCAGGTGAAAAGTGCCGGACTTTAACGTCCGGCACTTTACAAATGAATGAATGAATGAATGAATGAATGAATGAATGAATGAATGAATGAATGAATGAATGAATAATTTACAAATGAATGAAGTTTATTCATTCATTCGTACAGCAAAGTATTAAAAGATTCCGAGCCTCTCGTTACAGTTGCTTCCGACCATATCTCGGAATGTCCTTCTTGGTGGTAGACTGGCTACGTTGCACTGGCGCTGAAGTCGCGGGTTTAATTCCGGCACCGGCGATAGGATTTTGGTGAAGGCAAACTGTCATAGGCCTGTGTCTGCACCCGTTAAAAAAGACCAGATGGTCGAAACTACGGCGGGCCTGTTACAATGTCGCGGTTCTCGCACGTAAAAACTACCGACATTACTATAATATCCCGAAAGCCTGAGATGAAAGCCCCACGTATAATGAGAAGTATAGGAACATGCCCATACCTTGAGCTCTGTCTTGGATTCTGTGACGTCCGAGGCCGGGTCCTTGGTCCGGACCAGCCTCGCCACGAGGGTGAGAAAGCTGGGCTTGCTGAAGGTAAACATGGTTTCTCGGGGAACCTGCAAGAACGAAAAAAATGCGGTTATGCCACAGAACTCTGTTACAACGCAAGCGAAAGCATAGCTCACTCCAACACACTGAAGCCTCCAAACAATATTTGATTACGACGGGAGGGACGATGACGACGGCATCATTTTTGTATGTGCCACAGCCATCTGTAGCCAAACAGTACCATATATAAAGTTAACGTAATAATTGAAGCAAAAAAAAGCATGGCTGATTCTTTCGTCATAGGAATCGGCATACCACGAAAGTGAAACGTGTCTTCCTAAGTAGTGCTTAATGTGTAGTCATATGCGAGAACTTGTACAATTTCTCTTGCCGTTTCGCAGCTATAGCACCGTTTGACGTGGACACATCGCCTTGACGCCGAGTGGCACGTCTCCATCGCGACGACTACCACGCCCATGATAACAATTTAACGGTTGCGGTAACCGATGTTTTGTCATATACCTGAACACAGCGTATCGTTGATCTCGCACAAAGATGACATCAACGAGCACATGCAAGACACTGCTACACGATTTGCGCGTCTGCAAGGAACATCAGTGATTGAGAGAAAGAGCACGATGTGCGCTCCTGAAGCGTGTGCGCCAGCGCTCATGCACACTGCGCTTGAGCAACGCGGCAAGCAGTGGTTCGTATATATCTTGAGCCGGAAAAGCACACTGGCGTTACACGTCCCCCAGGCCTCAGTCTCGCTCCACCAGGGCGCGACATTCGCCTGTCCACATTGTTGTCTTGCTGCAGCACTTACTGCAGCCAGTTTATTAAATAGGCCGGTGTTACCACACTCTAAGTAGTCAGTGGTGAAAGATCTTTGGTACATGTGCACGACTTCAACAACGAGCTGTCGCGCGCTAACACGAATCGAGAAGCAAAAGACATAACTGTGGCGGCGACTCTTTGACGCTCGCTCGGTTAAGTTTTTTCACTGCCATCGATAACCTGGGGGACTTCAGTGCATGCAATTATGCAATTAGACAAGAAGATTTTGCTCGGCCATTCGCGATACAGCTTCCCTGTGTTGACCAATACCTGCAGAACGAGCATTTGCACTCTCGAAAGCATCCAGACTATGGCTCTGCGAGTTTGTCTGGGGCTATCGCGATGTTCGTCAACAGCTGAGACAACCGCGATCGCAAATGACTACCCGCCCAAGACACGTATTGTAATGTAAGTGCTCAGAGCACACGTGAGTCATCTTACTCGCGCCCCAGCCCATCATCTAGCCTTACTGTCAAAAGACCAACCTCATGCGTCCTTTTGCAAGACAATCTTGACATATCGTACACGCATACCCACGGGATATACAACTCCGTCCAGAATTGAACTCCCCCATGGTGTATGACTCATCCACATGTTGAACTCACTGTTCCAGGCATACAGTCAAACGCCCGGCTCTCGTCTCCAGTGCTAAAGCAGCTTTTTCTTGTCTTGTTGTATGAGAAGTACAGTGAGCATAACCATCTTTATACTGACGTTTCAACTAAAATGAATGGGTCTACAGGGTCGGTGATCTTTCCTGCAACAGCGACAACGACGAAGATTCGGTTATCCCAAAAGACGTCATTGACAGCTGCGGAACTTGCAGCTCTAAGTAGCGCAGTTAACGTCATTAAACACCAAGAAGCCAAGAAATGGACCGTGGTCACGGACTCGGGGGCAGCACTATAGTGTTTGGTATTCGCCTTACGCCGGGGACCTCATGAACAACTAGTGCTGTAAATTAGAGAGCTGCTTCACGACCTCTTCGACGAAGGAAACGAAATCACGTTTCAGTGCCTTCCAAGTCACTGCAGCCTAGTGGGCAACGAACATGCCAATTCAGCTGCTCGATCAGCACACAAAAATGGTGAACAAGCATCTATACCATTTTCAAGGACCGATGCTGCAATGAAAATCCGAAAAATTACTAATGAACAAGTTTGATCCCCGTGGAACGCTGAGTGCTTACGGCACACGCGACTGCATAGGCTGGACATGTCTCGTCGACTTCGGCCTCCATCTGGAATCTCACGACTTGAGACAACGGTGCTTTGCCGACTGTGCCTTGGTGTCGCTTTAACCAAAGTTTTCGCCTTCCGAATAGGCATAGAAGACAGTGCTGCTTGCGATCATTGCGGCAGCGATGAAACGATAGAGCACGTTCTTTGCCACTGCCCTCGTTAAAGCGTGCAAAGACGGCAGTTAGCTGCTGCGTTAGCTCGCCTTGACGACAGACCTTTGTCAGAACACTCATTGCGTCTGCTAACCCGCAGGTCGCGGGATCGATTCCCGGCTGCGGTGGCTGCATTTCCGATGGAGGCGGAAATGTTGTAGGGCCGTGTGCTCAGATTTGGGTGAATATTAAAGAACCCCAGGTGGTCGAAATTTCCGGAGTCCTCCACTACGGTGTCTCTCAATCATATGATGGTTTTCGGATGTTAAACCCCACATATCAATCAATCAATCAGAACAATCGGTGCTTGAAAGGCGACGATATCTGTCTTTGGACAGAAAATCAGTAAAGGCCTTATTGAACTTTTTGCGTGGTAGTGGCCTATTGTATAAGCTATAGCACCACACCTCACATATTTTTCTTTCTTTTCTTTGTAGCGTGTCTATTTCGCTCTTCGCGTTCTTTCCCATCTTTCTTAACCATTTCCTCTTCCCTTAATGCATGGTGGCAAACCAGCTGCTCCAATTACTGGTTGACCTCCCTGCCTTTTTCTCATTTTATTCTCTCGCCTAACCATAGCCTCCAGGACTACGTGCCAGCGAGTGATTACGGACGTCATGCTTCCACCAACGTTACTATTCTAGTCACGTTGGCTATGACTGCGTCATGTCACATTACCTCTCTTCAGCACTCACATATGGCGCCACAAGCCCACTCCGCCATAGAGAGCACGGAACGATTGAGAAAGTATGAAAGATATAAGGCGTGTTCGTAGGGAGCCCAGCGATTGCCTCAATGGCTCAGTCGGTAGAGCACCGGCAGCTGTTCAACGTTTCCCAAGAAGTCAGAGGTTCGAAGTCCACCGGGGGAACATTTATAGAATGATTTTCCTCTCCCATTAGATTGCGTTAATTGTACACCGTCATATCCGTGACGGAAATACGTCACTGAAGTGTTGTGTGGGTAGATCCAACACCCTCTCAAAATTATGAAAGCCTTAGTTCTGTTCCTTTTCCACTCGCGCTACGTCAGCAAATGGGGCGGATGCATGAGCACGTTTTGACAGTCGCCACGAAACGGCGCGTCCAGATCAAGCTGGTGCGCGTTCATCGGTGCGCTGATCAGACGTTCTTCTTGTCGCGGTGTGGCTCCACATGTCGACGCAGTGCTCCATATTGTGCTAATATTACACAAATGCCACACTAAGGCACTCCGAAATCACTTCAGAAGTGAGTGAACGCGTTTAAATGATGTGTTCTGTTTCCCTACTGTGTAGCTTCCAGCGCACTCTTCGAAATGAATGAAGATAGAAAGCGCATCTAGCATGTGTCACAACTGTCAGATCGCTCCAAATCTGCTCAGACTTGACGGATTTAGAAAAAAAATGTGTGGCAATCAGTTTGTTAGGTAATAAACTCCGATACAGAGGTAATGTGATGATGCACTACTTGTAAAAGCGCGTCATTGACTCTTGAAAGGTACGCCGCAAAACTTTTTGAGCATGTTCTCAAAACGATATCTCTCTTAGGTCACCTCCCCTTCAGAACTTGTGAGCTCAACTTTATAGCGCCGCACGTGGTCGGGAATTTAAAAACAAATCGCAAACTCAGTTAGAAATCACTCGCTTTTCTCTCTAAAAATGATGCAGCAATACAGAGAGTTACCACGCCATAAACACAAAATTCACAGATATTAGCTAATTTGAGCATCGTGAGCTACATAGTTAATGTTGCCCCCACGGGATGCCGTGACGTGCAACCGTGCGAGCGCTCGCCATCACACTGAAAGCAAGGTGCGTGTTCGAAGAATGAAAGTGTTCAAGGTTGTGACGTGGGCTCACGAACGCACACAGCTTCTTGAACCTCACCACCTCCCCTTAACTTTTTCTGCATAGCTTCACACGCAATCTCTGGCATGCAAAGAGAGAGGGAGCGATTTATTCATGCGACAAATCTCTGTAACTCGACTCGTAGTTAGATCCTAAATTTTTGTGTCAGTTGGCTCATGAGGTAATGAACCCATTTACCGAAGTCATTCGACCAATACTTGGGAAAGTATTTCACGACCTATATCATTAAGAATATTCCGAATAACAGATCCCTACTCACTTTTTTCAAAATTGTTTTGAAGGAAGCCTCTGTTTCTATGCCTTGAAATGTCTTACTCATACGTGACTAGTAATTTGGTAGCCTGAGTCAATGAGTGAGCGAGTGAGTGAGTGAGAATCTTCTTTGAAAGTCACGTCATCGTCAAAGACAAACAATATCACTGAATGTACAGTCCAACGTAAGAGTAGAACGAGTCATTTTGTCGTAGAGCTTTGTGACTTCAACGACCTGCTTCCAGTATGTACAGTCATAAACACCAGTCCTTTTGCATATTTGGCGTAGGCTGCCTTGATTTCACTAACACGTACACAGTATTGTAGCGACAGAGTAGAATGCTAAACCCAGTGCTTACTAACAAAACGTGATGAAAATAACGCCTTCGAAATGGTCTAGGTAACAAACATCTCGATACGGACACCATGCAGGAGGCGACGGTGTCGGTATGCGAGAGATGAGTGTATGTTGCAGCAAAAGAGGTATCTGGTGAGCAAATGATGGTGCACGAAAGGGCTGATGCGGCACTGCTGGACCATAGATATGGAGCACGCTAGAAGAAAAGAAAGGAAAGAAGGAAGGAAGGAAGAAAGAAACAAAGAAAGAAAGAAGGAAAGAAAGAAAGAAAGAAACAAAGAAAGAAAGAAAAAAGAAAGAAAGAAAGACGTGCGTATCCCCATTTAGCCAAAGACCAAGAGCTCCTTCTTTCTCTTTTGTTTTTGTTTTTTGAGGAGCC